GGTGGTAGCAAACAACTTCAGGCAACTGCGAGCCCTTGAGTCCATTGAGTCTTCCTTGGGCCAGTCAGTCCTAGGGGGCTTGGGGGTGAATGGTAGTTTGCACTAGGGCCCCCCACCATCGGCACGTTGGTGTATCCTCTCTATTCTGGCCCCTTCAGACCAGTAGCTAGCAGTCCTACAGCTCTCTGTTCCTGTATGTTCGATGTTCTCCAGCAACCGGGAGCCCTCGTCCAATTCCCCGGCGCTACCTTCCGTCGTGGTGTTGTCGGCAACCATGGATCAGCCCACCACGCTCTCTGCCCCTCACGTTGCTCTGCAGCTCCCGGCCGGCTCCAGGCAGGCTCGGGAGAGGTAGTCCAGTACTACATTCCAAACTAGCTTTTGGTTGAGTGTCTACATTTTTGTTAAATCTGTGCATTCTATACCATAGTGTCAGAGGCCTTTAATGCCAATAAAAATTAAATAAAAACAGGGTGCTTTACAGAAACAGCTTATTTTTGTGCTTCCTGAATTATAGCGCATTCCCCATGCTGCAACAAAAGGCAATATGCCAGGAGAATGAAATATGGGAATTCCAAGTGCACAAAGTTGTAGACAGCAAAGAAAAGAAAAACAAAATAATATGGAACAAACATCGCAGTAAGGAATAGGATAATGATCAGCTGCAACACTGTCTTGCACAAGCCTCCTACAGAAGAACAGGAGCTGCAGAAAAGCACAATAACACTCATGTACAGCTCTAATTTTTTTCCAGTGGGATTATGAAAGAAAACTGAGCTATAATATTAAAATTTAAATTCCAACATAATCACAAATGGAACATTGCTTTGTAGTGTGCATACTTCAATATATAATCGATTGATTTTCTGCATCTTACTCTATCAGTCTAATAAACCTTGACATAATGTATTATTGTGCAGATATACCAAGACAGGTAACGACAGTGAAGGCAATAACACAGTTACGTAGTTTTACTACAAACCATAACAACATAAAGTAATGCACTATTATGCTGATTTTTTAAAAGCATTAAACCTTATTGAAGCAAAAGAACTAACAGAACCTTATCCCACCCACCCATCTCCAAATTCACTGTAACAGCAGCCACATTTGAATCTCTGTTAAAATCTCTTAAACCTGAAGATTAGCTGTATCATTGTGGGTTATTATTTTGGCTAGTTTGCATCGATTTCTCATTCATAACCCCCAAGTGCCATAGAAACAGCACATGCATCTTCAGAAAGGACTGTTTGTAAGGTTTTCTAGATGATGTATGGGAAGCACTTTGACAAGTATTATTGGTGGGTATCTGGCTTCTGACTGAAAGGACAAGGAAGGCTGGCAATACCATTGTGGCTACCTAGTAACAGAAACTGAGGGCATTTGTTTCTTGAAGCTTTAGGTGCTGCTTCTATCATTTGAGGGTCTTAACACCTGAACTTTTTTAAAGATCTCAGATTTTTCTCCAACCCTTGGACTTTTTTTCAGGTTTGTAGAAAGATCTGGCTTGTCTGTCCATGATCCCAATCTCTGGGTTTAAGTATCCACAGAATTTGGCCATGTTCAGAATGAGATATATTGATACTGTAATGTTTCTTGCTTTTTTTTTAAATCATACCCAAGTGTGATATTTCAGAATGCACATTCTGAGTGCTGCCAAATGTTGATCCTTTGCAAAATGCAGCTCTACTATAGAGAGAAAAAAGGGAAATCTCAGTGGATAATTAAAGTTTCTATTTCATCTATTCCTGAGTAAACCAGCCAACTAGCCACTCCCAAGTACGCAGGAAAACTCTGATTCCCAATTCATCATCATGTCGTCTTTCACAGGTTGCAAATACACCCATGGATGTATGTGGTGCTAAGCTAAGTATGTAGGCAGAAGACACAGTAATTAGACAACACATTGTAAAAGGACAAGTTGCAGCATCACTGGGCAGCCAGCAGGGCTCAAGATCAAGACTATACTGCTTCCTCTTAAAAGATTTCTTTTTTTTAAAGTTAGGCTGTCGATTCAATTACTGTGCTCTCAGTTCCTCCTTCACATACACTATAATTTTTATGTGTGCACCTGTCAGTATTGGAATAATAAGCACGTAGCCATGTGTGTCAGCAATTTAAGAACTTCCCACTCAAGAGAACTTGCTGTGTGGCAAAGTGTGAAATGTAAAGAAGACAGAGACCTTGTAGACATTGCTGGCAGCTGAGACACAACTGCCAGCTGAGTGTGCAGCATGGCTGGCAAAATCAGGAAGAAAGCCAACTTCCAACAAAGGTTTATATGAAAAATAAAAGTTCCAGACTCCTTCAGGTCACATAGATGCATTATGATGCATAGAACAGACTAAAAAAAATCTGAATTTCTTTGGAAAATAGGATTTTGGAAAATTGGGAGAAGTACCTCTTATCAAGAGGTAAGGTTGGAAGGGGTAACACACACACATTCCTCAAAGAAGGCGTTACGTAATGGGAATTTAAACAACTACCATAGCTTCACCAAAAGATCATACACTCCATTATTTCAGAGGACTTTGTTACACCTGGATTACATCTCTGGAGCAACTCAATGCATAAACAGTACATTGCTTTCACTTCTACTGTACAAGGATCTATGGCTCAGTTTCACTATTGTATCTTTGCCTCAGGTTCTCATGCTTTCCTTGCCCCTTGCAGAGTCTAATTCCATCCAGAAACTCCTGGTTTATATAAATTAGTTGGAAATTATGGTTTGTGCTTGCCTTCCAACCTATGGTTGTTGGTTCTGGTTTGGAGGGCGTGCACAAATCACAGGTTTGCGAAGTTGGGGGTGTATCAGCGACCTATCCAAGCAAGAACTTTTAACTGATGTGCCAGAGATCTGTTGCTCTGGAAAGCATCCTGGAAAGAGTCCACGGGAGGTTTGGGTTCCAAGACTCACCACTGACATCTGGAATAGATTCTGGGATGCTGCCTCAGATCAGCTACAGAAGTTGCCGCTATGAAGTGTTTCTTCAGACTTGGCTGAAAGATGTCATGTTGCACTTTGGAGAATTAACATACCTTACAGCTAGTACAGGTGACTGGAGAAGGTGCTAGCAGAAAACTACAAATTCTGCTCTGGCAACACTCATGCAAATGCCATTCCTACCCAATTTCACTTGTTCCCAGGTAAAACTTCGAAGTGAGCCTTGCATAGGTACTACAGAGTCCCCAGTAGAGATGTGATCCCAGTAGTCATGTATGGCTGTGAGAGTTGGACTATAAGGAAGGCCGAGCGCCGAAGAATAGATTCTTTTGAACTATGGTGCTGGAGGAGACTCTTGAGAGTCCCTTGGACTGCAAGAAGAACAAATCAGTCAATCCTCAAAGAAATCAACCCTGACTGTTCCCTGGAAGGCCAGATAATGAAACTGAAGCTCAAATACTTTGGCCACCAAATGAGAAGGGAGCACTCCCTGGAGAAGACCCTGATGCTGGGAAAGATTGAAGGTCAAAGAAGACGGGGACGGCAAAGGATGAGATGGTTGGACAGTGTCATCGACGCAACGAACATGAAATTGAGCCAACTTCAGAGAATGGCGGAAGACAGGAGGGCCTGGCGGGAGCTGGTCCATGGGGTCGCGAAGAGTCGGACTCGACTGTGCGACTGAACAACAAAAAAATGTTCATACTCATATTTTATGTTCGTAAAGTAACAGAATGACTTTCAATCGAGAAAAGACAAAAGAAATGTTAATGTAGCATTTTTTTTCAATTTTTCCGAAAATTTCCTTTCCCCCCCGAAAAAACCGGGTTTTTTTCCGAGCTTCAAAATTTCCGGAAATTTTACTTCTCTAGTCCCCAGCATCTAAAAAGTCTGATTTTATAAGGATAGGCCAGCGTTTCAGTCCTCATGGCAGCAGAAAATACACCAAGACCATGGGGCAATACCTAGGGAGGTCTGTAAAACCAGTGAGGGGGCAAGACTGGTTTCCTGTGGTAAGATAGTACCAGACTTGTCAGAACCCCATGGGTGGTTGGGGATGCCTGTTCCCAGTGGGCACTTCCCGGCTACCTCTCAGCTGGCTGAGAGAGGGGGAAAATGGCAGCGGAGGGGGGAGGGAATACCAGCAGCATCTCAGTGCATGATGTCACTCTCTGTGCATCCAGAAGTGACTTCAAAGCACTGCCTGGGAATACTATAGCATTTGGGCAAAAAGGAGTTACAATCAAATAACAGTGTGTCCCCAGAGACAAGCTGATGTCACTCCCCATGTGCCCAGAAGCGATGTCGGTTAGTTGTCACAGAAATCCTTACATTTCCATCAAAGCTCCCCTGCCATGTATACACACACCCAAACCGCTGGTTGCCAGGTCCTGCGTGGCAATCCTAGATGATAGCAAAATGTTTGGATGGATTATTACAATGGAGCATGAGTTACCAAAACATACATCACACCCTAAGACACACACCCCTTAAATTAAAGAGATACAGTAATACCTAAAAAGCATTTAAAGCACCCATCCCAAAAAAGAGGTGAACCAGTTAGTCAGCCAGCATGAGGTGCTCTCCCCACCACCACCAGCTTCGATCTTCTTCTTCCAGCTCCTTCCCCACCCATCACCTTCTCTTCCTCCTCCTCTCACCCCTCACAAACCTCTAGGGAAAAGTTCCATAAATGGGAAGTAATTACCAAAACTTCTGTCACTGTACCTTTGGTTATCAAACCGTGCAAGGCTGATGTAGTTAAGGTCGCACTCTTAGTTAATATGAGGGAGATATTAAATGAGGGACAGTGAGACAGTCTCAAGAGCAGTGAACAATTCTGGATGCTACAGTTCAGGACTGAGACCTTGACTTGCGCACAGAAAGCAGTACAGGATTCTGGAGCACATCACAAAACTGCATATGAATTTACCATCTAGGGTGAAATGAGAATAAACTGTGCAAGCTACAGCCAGGTAAGGGCGAAAGAATCATAACGTCAGATCAAATCCAGAAACTTTTTTTATTTCTCTGGAATGGAAAAAACTCACCAGCCTGATCAAAAATTGCAGGTGGCAACTGTACATTCGAAAGAAAGAAAGAGAGAGAGAGTTTGGTTTCATACATTTCTGTCATAAGAAACAATTTCAAATTGTACACCAAGCTTTTTACAAAGCATCAATGTTAAGATGGTTTCACCGGCTTCTACCATGATTTTCTCCATTTTATACCATGCAAAAATGTTACATCTGCTTAACACATTTTAAAACTTTAGTATTACAAAGATACAAAGGTTCATTGGTCAATTGGTATTTTTAAGACATGGAGGTGGTGTCATTTCTTTGTTTTTCTCCCTAAGGAAGCTGCAAAAATAATTTAGTTCACACAGACAAGATGGGGGATTGCATTCAAGCCCTGGATCCTTTAGAATTCGTACCTCAGTCACTTGTATTAGCATAACAGTATCATCGACCACAAGGATCGGCTTGTGTGGTTCTTGCATTCATAAGATCTTAGCATTGGAAGGTATCTCAAGGGTCACGCAGTTCTAGCCTCCAGAAGCAGAAACTCATCAACTAAAACCTTCCCTGATAAAGATGCTCATCTAGTCTTCTTCCATGAAGGAGATTGTTTCATTCTATTCCACTCTGTTATTAGTTTCCATTTAGATCAGCACATCGGCAGTTCTGCTGAAACCCAAGAGAAACCTACAGATGAAGAATGTCTGGGCCAATTTCACATGGATTTAGCCCTCTGTCCTTGGCCTCTTTGTACATCCTTTGGAAGTCTTTGAAACGAGGGGCACAGCCTAACCTGGCCTCCCCAAAGTGCATGCGGCCTGTGAAGAGGAAGTCTCCTTCTCCTGGTTTCACCCCACATTGCAGCAGTGTCTTGATCTGTCCTTCCCAGATACCAGTTTCCTCTGCAGGTTTGAAGATCTTCATTTTCTGCCTGTAGATTCTGTTCACACTCACATCGATGACAGAATCTTGCCCTTCCTCCTCATTAAGTACATTTTGAATGGTACCTCTGACAACTAGGGAGAAAATATAAAGTTAGATTAAGGAGTGTTGCATATTCAAATTATACAGATTGATAACACACTTAGATGCCAACCTTTCTCTGTCTTGTTAATGTAATTCTGGATAATTTTATGTTTGGGCTACTGGCTTACCAGACTACTGGAAGAAATACCATGATGGGAGCAACAGATAGCAAAATCTATGGAAAGGCTCAGGAAAAGATGATCACACCATCATGTCAGATCCAGCAATCAGGAGAAAGCCAAGACAGTTGCAGTTCTTCTCCATTATCCCACCCCCCCAGCAACCCCTTCTGATCCTGGGGGAGTTGATTCCTAGGGTTGTGGAACCCATGTGGAGAAATAGCCACATAGAGTGTGAGGTTTCAGTGGGCTGGGGAAAGAGGATGAATCACTCAGCCCTGCCTCTTCCACCAGGACAACTACCTCTGGAGCTCTGCTGACTGAAGGAGGAGTGGTCTCATGATGCTTGGAAATAAATTTTCCTATGATGAGGAGGGACTGCTGCGCTGGGGGCAGGGGACTCTGGGGAAATAAAACAGGGAAGATCTGCAGTGCTTGGGTCAGCTGATCACTGGATCCAAACCATTGTATGTTAAACTCCTGCACCAAAGTCTTAAGACACAAGGGAATTTTTTACACGTTTAGGATATTAAATATTTATGACACATGGTCCAATTAAGATTTCTTACAATTGTTTTTGCAGTTTTCTGTGCTGAAGAGTTTTTCTCAGCAAATTAAAGCATGATCTTAAAAGTTCGGTCACTCAAATTATCTAAGTAGCTGTAGACATTCTTAGGTGTTACATTTATAAAAAAAATTGAAACCAATTGGAAAAAAAAAAAAAAAAAAAAGGTACTTGATAGTCTATTCAGTTTCCAGAAATGAAATATAACTTGGGGATGTACTTAAGTTTGTATGCCCCGACTAGCCAAGGGGACCTAATTTTTCTATTGAATGACTATTGGATGAAAAGTTTTTTCAGATTTGTTCCATCTAGCTGATGTCACAAAAAAATAATAATTTGGCCTGATTTGGATTCGGCCAAATCAAGCAGAATCAATTTCGGCTGGCAGAAAGACTCCCGCATGTCAATTTTGGCAGTAAGAGCCGATTTGGGAGTCTTTCGGCCAGCCGAATGTCAATTATATCCTATGGGCCATTGAAGTAAATGGCGAAAACATAGGGTATATTCTGGGAGCTGGAGGGGAGGGGGTTTGAGGGAGAGCTCCCAAACTTGCAGAGAAGCTGCTGGAGCATCTACCCAAGATACCCACCAGGTTTCAAGAACATTGGACCGGGGGGGGTGTCGAATTCTACAGGGCCCGTAGAACCTGTTTGGGGCCCCGTAGAATTGGACCCCCTGGTCCAATGTCCTTGAAACATGGTGGGTATCTTGAGGAAATGCTCCAGCAGCTACCCTGCAAGTTTGGAGCCTCTCCCTCAAACCACCTCCCCTCCAGCCCCCAGAATATACCCTATGTTTTCGCCATTGACTTCAATGGCCCATAGGATATAATGGGGCTGAATTGCCGCCGAAATTCGGCGGCAATTCAGCAGCAAGCCAATTCAGATCAGAGAATCTGAAACGGCCCACAGCAGCCTGAAAGGGGCCCGGATGGGCCATTTTCGGGGGTGCATTCGCTTCAGATGAACCGAATGCACACCCCTAGTTCCATCCTTCTAGATACACATGAAGTTGCTTTATACTGAATCAGACCCTTGGTTAATAGTTAATAGTGTCTACTCAGACCAGCAGGGGCCCTCCAGGGTCTCAGGCTGAGGTCTTTCACATCGCCTGATCCTTTAACTGGATATGCCGGGGATTGAATCTGGGACCTTTTACATGCCAAGCAGATGCTTTGCCAGCAAGCCACAGCCTCTCCTCAAATTTGGGTAATTCAAATTTACTTTCCCATGCAAGAACTGATTGCAGAACAAGATCAACTGGGGAGGGGGGGTGGAACCACCAGCCTATTCTAGTACATCCTTTATGGTCACCCATTCTGGAGAATATGTACTTTGCATAGAAGCCTTCAATATGAATTCTAAGAATTACAAAAGCAACTCATGTGTGACCCATTGGCTATTATGAGGGAGGGAAAGATCATTGTATGCTCATGAGGCTCCATCTACTACAAGCAACAATGTCCTTTTCAGGCTTTATGAAATACAGGAAATTTAGTTAACACCTGTGCCTATGAACAATGAGCTCTCTGAGCTGCAGGAGACTGAAAAGGGGAGACTCCAATGATCTCCATTTTTGCATACTGCAAGGAACTCATCCTACAGAGGTTAACATCAAATGGGCAAGCATTGTTAGGAAAATTAAATACTCATAGCAAGGTTCAGAAGGAACATTTCAATTGCTTTCTATTAATGGCCCAATAACATTAAAGTTAACTTCTCTGGCACTCTGCCACTCCCAGCAAGCAATCACCTGTCTGGGTAACATTTTACATCAAGGCAGACTTGGAGCAATCCCACTGCAGTGTTTTAGGGTTATCTCTATTTGCTTCTGTTCAGAATACTGCCCACTATGTTTGCCGTAGTGGTGGACTGTATTTATATCTGCAACATATGCCCAGGACCAGACATGCCCAGCTGTTTCATTATAACATTTACTGTAAATTCCAAGCGTGGGAAAATTGCTTTAATGTTATTTTCCTCTTTATGATAGTTAAATAGCTACCTCAGAAATCACTTCAGGCATAATTATTTGTCTCTTGGGAGGCACAGTACAGATAAGGAAATACACCTTTTGTTGGCCCAACTATAACAACAGGAGATCTGCAGACTTTCAGACCCCTGATTGACAAACACAAGCTTTCTCTTGGGCAAAAGCTACTCAGAGTAATATAATATCAGTAAGCTACAGTACATCTATTGCCTATTCTCTTCTTAGGTAATGTGATAAAATGGAGGAAGGGAAAATGCTGTTAGCCACTTGTGTCCCCACGGGGGGGGGGGTAGTATAAATGAATAACAGAACTCATTAGGACCATTTTACCATCACAATGTTAACTGCCAATTTTTGTGGATCAGCTTAAACTGCAAATCCTCTGCAGCCATAACATAATCCCATTTCTGACTAGGGACTGCTCTCATATTTTTGTTATATTTGGTGCATGTGGGGAAAGACCCAGGTCCATCTCCAGCATAATGCAATTACTGAACTCATCCCCCTTTAAAAATGCATCTTTGGTTTTTGTCAGGGATCTATTTAGGATCCTTAGCATTTAGCTAAGATTAGCTAAAAAGGATTTAGCAAGAGGAACATTTCTATTGCTTATCCTCTACAAACCTTTGAACTTCCACTTCCATTACTGCACTAGGTCTCCCTTTGTCCACTGCAAAACAGCACTAGCCAAATACAATGGTCTGAAGTTCTTCAGAGCTAAAACCCATAAAGCCCCCCCCTCGCATTGTTGTTCTTGAATGCACTTTGTTTACTCCAGAGGGGAGGAAAGGAGTTTTTCTTGTTTGTTACATCTGGGGTTATCAGGCTGTTGACTATTTGTGAAGTTTTCTTCAGAACAAATCCTGAGGATTACCACCATAAGGGAAGAATGATGATTTAGAGAGAGAGATGGTGAAGTAAAATGATAGCAAAGAGATAAATTAAACTTACCAAAATCACTAGTGCAGACTGCCAAGAGCACTTCCGTGTCACTGCAAGGTCGGCAGGGAGCTAGAATAAAAGATTAAGAAAAAGCAGTTTTTACAAAAATGCCTTATGGTTCCTCCAGTTTCAATCTGTCTTTCAACCTCAAATGCAGCCCTCTCAGTATGTGAAGGATCTTCACTAACATTAAGCTGTAGAGCTAGATGGTCATCTCAGATACAGAGGAAGCTTAGAGAGGCGATTGATGATAAAGATCTTCATACAATTGTAAAGATCTGCTGGGAACCTAATTTACAGAATAATCCTTTATCAATATATAGTAAACTCATTCAAGAGTTTAAAACTTTTTTATCTGGAACTAAACGTCAACCCCTAAATTGTCAGAGAAACTCTAAACCGTGGTTTGACTTAGATTGCCAAAGAGCAAGAAAAGTGCTTTCAGCTATTTATTATTCATTTAAGAAATTAAATAGTAATTTAAGAATGGAAATTCAGCAAGAGCTTTGGTCCCCAAAAAAGGTCTATAAACATTTAATTGCCCCCCAAAAGAAAAATTATACCAATTTGTTATGGTCTGAATTAATTTCAGCGGCTAAACAGAAAAATTCTTCCCTGTTTTGGCGATTGGTTTCAGATAAGAAACAAAGTCCCATCATCAATTAGACCTATACCTCCTAGTGTATAGTTTATCTATTTTAACCAACTATATAGGGACCTTGGGGCTGCAGTGGCTCAGAGGTTAAGGTGCGCAAAGATTTATCAGCGTTTGTTCAATTGTGTCAAGTATGTGCCATGAGTAAACCACGTCCCGGGAAGGTCCCAGGTTTGTTGAAACCCCTCCCCACTCCACATTGGTCGTGGGAAGTAATCTCTATGGATTTTATAACAGACTTGCCGTCCAGCAAATCCATGACTGTAATTTGGGTGGTGATTGACCTTTTTTCTAAACAAGCGGACTTCATCCCCTTTACTTCCTTACCGACAGCCAAAGCCTTGGCCAAGGCTTTTATGTTGCATATCGTACGCCTCCATATGCTGCCCAGCAAAGTGATATCCGACAGGGGAACCCAATTCATTTCTAAGTTTTGGGGGGAATTAATGAAAATTATGGGGGTGGAGAGGGGCTTGAGCAGTGCTTACCACCCAGAAACTGATGGAAAAACGGAGAGAGTTAATCAGACTCTGGAACAATATCTCTGGTGCTTCACAAACTATCAACAAGATGACTGGCATGACATTGCCTCTGGCTGAGTTTTGCTACAACAATACATGCCACACCTCTACCGGGTTATCTCCATTCAAAGCCCTTTATGGCTATGACAGCCCGCCGTTGCCTTTCCTGGAGGGGGAAAAGGATTTAGAACCTGGGGATGCTGGCTTATGGTGTTTGAAGGTTGGGATCCAGTGCGAGAGAAATGAAGGAGTCCTAACAATCTGTCAGGTCCCCAGCTAAGACACTCTCCACACACACTATTGGCAGTGAAGTGCTTTATTAGAGATTTGCTTGCTGCGGGTACAAGAACTTTTGTTAGGACTGAAGAAAACCATGGGAAATCACAGGTTATAGGTAAAAGCATAAAATTCCACAAACCCATACATCACACCTACCCCCAAGCATTTCTATGGCAACACAGACAGATATATGGTGCCCTATCTAACCTAGCCTAGGCACAGAGAGTCTCCAAGGTCAATCTCATGAGAATCAACTCTTGGGGCACAACTTGAGAAACTGTTATGGCTACTACCCCCATGCACTCATACAACACACAACTCAACATTACAAGCGAAGGGAAGGGAAGAAAGCAAAACTTAGAGAAATGAAAGTTAGGCCTGAGCTTGACAATAACTTTCCTTTAAAAAATTAGTTGATTTTTAAAGAAAGGATATATGACAGCTATAAAAATATTTTCCTCAATTCCAAATTTTCTTAGTTATGGAGTTATACAGTATCTTATTTTCTTATTAGCTTTTGGAAAAATTTTCTTTTCTGACACATCTTTCTTCTAAATGGGAGGTTTGGAGAATCAAATGGTGGCAAGTTTCTCCAATGGCACACCTACAATTGATTTTCCAATACCAGACATCTTTTTGGCTGTTTTCTTTGCAAATTTAAACCAAAGTAAGTCCCATGCATAATTATGCCGATCATAAGGAGGAGTTATACAATCATAGCAAAGAACCTTTTAATATCATTTCATTGCTAGATAGTTGCTACTTGCTCATCAATGAAATGAAAAGCCCATCAATCAAAGGGTTATTAAAACTACTAGCTATGGAAATGTATACATCAGCATAATTCGGTCCCCGTCCCCCCCCTCTCCTGAAATTTCTCTGTACAACAATTATCTGGCAAACAAATTGCATGGTTGCCATGATTATAGAAATCTCTGAAAAGTACACTTGTATACACAGCACTTTCTTCACACAATCAGTTCATGTAGAAGAAAAATCATGTAGAAGAAAAATCAATGAAAATTAATGTGTGAACTACCCCTTAGTTACTTTCGTGGCAATTTTAGCAGAGTCGTACAGAATTCAGGTTCACTGCAAAAGCTTTTTTTGAGAACCAGGATTATATATACACAACAGTCTTGGGTACCTGAGCCACTTCTAATGTTCTAAGAAAAGTGTATCAAAGATACACTGTGCTGCAAGAGAATCAAAACAAGAGAATCAAATGGAAACCCAAGGCCAGATCTATTACAGCCCCAAGAACTGCAGGGGCTGGCAGCAGTAGAGATCCTATGCTAACATAATCAAAAATAGAATGTAACTGCTCTTTGCACTCAGCCAGCTACTTCTGCTGAGAAGCCCTATCTAGCAACATGCTAATTAAATCTACCCACTGGAGGCCCAGAGAGGGGGAAGAAGACTTCTTTGTCACCCCTAAACATCTGCATCCATCATAAAAATGAAAACTCACCAACTGCGCTATGCTTCCAGGTTTATTACAAAAGCAGAATCTACAATAGATTACTGTGTTTTTTTTTTTAATCCCAATAGTAGTTACAAGTGCTGAAGTGCTTAGAGAAAATGCAAGAAGGGAATTATATACTTCACCTTCCAATCAAGATCCAAAGCATATAATTTGTACATTTTCCCAGTTACAAAGGAGAAGAGCTTTCTAATCCTAAACATATCGATTTCAATGAAATCAAGAATGTAGTGTGGACCATGTGCTCCTCACTTCCCTCTGTCCTCAACACGCTCAGATGAGAAGTGTTGATGAGGAAGTTGTCAACCAGCAGGATACAGCAGCCTAAGATCACCAATATGCTGATGCTGAATGCTGCATGTTCTAATACACTACCTAGATCATAAGAGGAGATTGGTGGCGAGGAAAGAAATGGAAAAAAAACAGAATATAATTTGAACTGGACCTTAGGCTCACAATCTCATGGTCCGATTAGATAGTATTCTCCACAAAAAAACCTCTCAACTTGACAGTAGTCTCAGGCATGCACAGAAACTTTACTGTGAAGAGAAAGCAACAAGTCAACTGACCTATACTTTATTCAAATGTAAGCTGTTTCTGAACTCTAATAGATAGTGGGGATAGGGTTCCTTGGATCAGGAAAACGGTTCACTGGATCAGGGGAATTTCAACATTCAAATAAATGTTCCA